TTTTAGAACAAATGTCACATTTGAATGGTTTCTCACCGCTGTGAATTATTAAATGTTCCTGTAAATGAGTTTTTTGAATAAATTCTTTAGAACAAATGTCACATTTAAATGGTTTTTTACCACTGTGAATTATTAAATGTCTCTTTAAAGTTGATTTATCATTAAATCCTTTAGAACAAATGTCACACTTGAATGGTTTTTCATTGCCGTGAATTATTAAATGTTGCTGTAAGTGAAATTTCTGAGTAAATCCTTTGAGACAAATGTTACACTTGAATGGTTTTTTACCACTATGGATTATTAAATGTCTCTGTAATATAAATTTATCATTAAAACCTTTAAAACAAATATCACACTTAAATGGCTTTTCACCACTATGTAATATTAAATGTTTCTGTAAGTGAGATTTTCGATTGAATCCTTTCAAACAAATGTCACACTTAAATGGTTTTTCACTACTGTGAATTATTAAATGTCTTTGTAAGTTACATTTGTGTTTAAATATTTTAGAACAAATGTCACACTTAAATAGTTTTTCACTACTGTGAATTATTAAAGGTTTTTGTACGTTATTAATTATTTTTCGCTTCGACTTGGAAGAAAAATTGTATTTCTTAGGTTTGTCGTCAAATTGAATTTTAGTTCTATTTTTCACTACATGATTTAAAAAATGATGAAAAAAATCAATTTTTATCATTAATTTTCCACAAAACTGACAAACTACGCAGCGGTTTTCAAAATGTCCATCAATATGAGTCGATCTTGACTTAGAAGAAGGAAAATCTGCAAATTAAAAAAATTATATTGTTTGGAATTGGGTGATTAACTAAGTACGCATTTTATTTTCTTTTATTTTAAACTAAGAGGTAATTATTTTCATTAAAGTTTTCTTTAAATTACAAGAATTTAGGGAGCTCAGTGTACGGAGCAAATGTTAGAATTTCTGAAAGATTTAGACCGCAATGTGGAGATAGATACAGCAGAATATAATGAATTTAAAGAGTATACTGAACATATAACAACCAAGGCATAGGTACTGTTGTACCGTTGTAAAGAGGCTTCCAAGACCTTACAAATGAAGTATCACTCAACCCCTCTTCCCTATTCAATTTTGAGGGGTTGAAGCACCCCCTCATAGAGGGTTGCTCATTCAAGCCACAAATATACGTCAAAAGATGTCCCCCAAAGAAAATAATCCGACGTGTTTCGGGAAATTTTTCCAATTACTACGGGATAAGAAATATACGGGGTGGCTCGTCTGAGATGGAACACCCTGTATATAATATTTAACAGGTAACAAATAACAACAATGTGTTAATTTTGCATTTTTATATAAGTACGTTTATTTTATTTATATTTTTTTCTATTTTACTTTGTATATATTTTATTTGGGTTACAATTAAATAAAGGTTCTTTTTTCAGGTAAAATGTAAGAAAGCTCTGAAGCATATTTATGCTCTAGGTGAAAAAAATTTAAAAGCAAATGTAGCATTTCATTGGAATCCTGTTTCTAAGTAAATTCCATTGTCTAAAATAATAGGGGGGGTCAAAGGGATGCGGAATTCTTCTAAAAACCTATATAATTAAAACAATTTTAAAGATCACTGACTCCATTTTATTGGTCACTGTGTACTAATATCTCATGTATTTCTAAAGAAAAGAAATAAAAATATTAAGTGCTAGAAGGGAACAATATATTTAGTTTTTGCGTGCGGGTGCCTTTATTCTTTTCTACAATAAAATTAAAATATGAATTGATTTATGGAGCTCAACTGAAAAACAGGAACTAATGCTTTCATTCAAAAAAATATATATTATGGTCAATAAAAGGAATTTATATCTTCAAGCCCTTATTTAAAACAATTAAATATTAATAGTTATCTTTACAAATTGTTACAAATAATGAACTTGTTTGTTGACATAAACATTATTTTCATAATACAAATAAATACATCTTTGTTAAATAATGGTCAAATTTTATTTAACATATTCATTTAAACATGTTTTTGGTTTTTGTCTGAATGATATTGAATACTAACTTTTTCTATATAACTTCTTATACCCGACATTGTGAAATAAAAACCTCTCGCTTTTTTCTTTCAATTAATTTGTAGTTTTTGTCCAAATGGATAATTTTTTTAATTGTACAACTTATAACTCAGCTGCTGATAGCCAGTGTAACAATACAGGTTTTTTTATGAATTTGTTACAGAGGCTGTACACATAGGTGGTTCATTATAACAGATTACTCCAACAACAAAAATAATGTTTGATAAAATATAAATAATATGCTGAAACATTCTATCTTATGATCGTTACATATTTTAAAACCAAAGGTACCTTTTCATTTAACCAACTCATACATGGCTACCCCAAGTTTGAATATTATAAACCCGCTTGAATATATGCAACAACAGGCATAGAAAATATTTTTAAACACCTAATTTAAAAATGTAAAATGTCACGAGACCGTTTATGGTCCATTCACATTGGCCGTCTATATTTATTAAGGTACATGAGCGATAATATTACTAAACTATCTGGACGCTTTTCAACTCGCGATCAATTGTAACATTATTTTGTGCTATTGTGGAATATTTTTCGGCTCCTTTGTCTCAACTTCACGTGTATACTTTAGAATATGTAATCCCATGAAGGATACAACCCTGAATTAGTACACCACTTAAATTCTTGTAGACTTATTTATGCAGATGACTTTAAAATATATCTGTTAGTACTAGGCATGTATGACTGTTTAGTGGTTCAGCAGGATCTTCTAAATAGATTATTAGATTTGTGCATGTAAAATAGGTTAATGCTAAATGCATCTAAGTGTAAAGTGATGGTATACACCAGAAAAAGGTCTAATACATATTTCTATTATAATATTAATGGTTTAGTTTTGTCACGTTGTTCCTCTATCACTGATCTGGGTGTCAGTTTTGGCTTGAGACTAAGTTTTGTTGAGCATATTAATATATGAATGTGTCTGGTGCAAATGAAATGTATGGTTTTGTTATACAAAACTGTAGTGGATTCAGAGACATTAGAGTATTAAAAACATTATACTATTCATACATCTGCACTAAGCTTGAGTACTGTTCAATTATCTGGTATCCCTACTATATTATTCACATTATTAGTGTTGAATCTGTTCAAAGGAAATTTTTGAATTATTTAGCTTTCAAAGTAAATGGTGTCTACCCTCCAAGAGGAATCGATTATCAGCTACTTTTGGATAGTTTTAACATGGATAGTATTGAATTTTGAAGAGTTCTAACTTGTTTGGCTTCTTTATATAAAATCACGAATGGATTGACTGTTCTATTGTAGCGAATAATATTTTAAATATTCCCAATATAATAGCAAACATCATTTAACTTTTTATTGTTTCAGATCTAGAACAAATATTCTATCAAGCTCACCTTTCAATGTCATGTGTAATAACTTTAATATATTATATTGTAATTCATCAGATATATTCATAGATAGTTTGGAAAAGTATTAAAGCACTTGCTTGTACTAATTATGACAATTCTTAAAAATCTCTTTTTTTGTTTTTTTTTTTTTATTATATTATATTTTATATTTATTTATTTATTTATTTTGTATTCATTGTTTTTTATAATATCCATACTATATTTGTCACCTTTACTATAGTATTAATAATTTGTTGGGTGTTCTATAAAGGGATTTATATCTGTTAGGCAATATAATTATTAGATATTGAGATTAAATACACATTAAAATGAGTTGTTTTTTGTAGAATTGATAAATAATAGCATTTCTAGTGTTCTAACACAACTAAAACTATTCACAAACAGATTTGTGTACTGTCATATATAAGTTCCTAGGTCTGAATAGGAACGAATTGTCAAGACAGGTGCAAAGCCACAATAAAAAGTTTCTTGTTTCTATTGTCTCTGACAGCTCTAATTTGTATTTGTCAATTGAGTTTATTCTTAATAGTTTTTATTCATTATCAATTATGTTATTTTGTGGTTTATTATAATAATGTCCTTTAAATTTTTTAAAAATTTTAAGATTGTCAACAATAAGTTGTGTATGGTTCCAACATCTTTGTTAGAACAAACATATAATGTTCTTTGAGTAATTCAATAAGCCATTTTAATGTGTGATAAGTTGGCAAATTGCCAAAGGAGCTCACTGGTCTGACATGTATTTCTTCAAAAACATTTGACTTATGTATTTTCAAGATCCCGTAAAGTCAGAGGATTAATTTATCTGGCTTGAATTTATTAAATAGAGGTGTAGTTAATCAGATTTTTACTATTTTTAAATTTGGTGTATATTTATTTATTTTAAGGATTGTTGAATAAAGTTTTTGGTGTTTAAAAAATTGTAGACAGTCATTGTTCTTAGTTTTGGTTAATATTAAGTTATTTTTGATTTTTTTAGAAATATTTTTATTTCCTTTGTCAATAAAAGATCCTATAGTCAAAAAATTACTAGACAAAGAGGCGTTTTCTTTTAAGTAGATTGATTACATAATTTCGAGCCTCATTTCTAAGTAAGTAGTAACTAGGTAAAATTGATTCAAACTCTAAATTATTTTTATGAGAATTATAATTACTAAATACCAGATTGAACTTATTGCCTTTTTTTATACAAATCAATTTCTGTTGTCTTTAAAAAGACAAAAATTAAAAAGTTTGTAGAAATTACCTAGGTTGTATTTGATTATTATGAATTAGTCATAAGATATTGTAGTATTTTGTTTAATGTTCTCATTTTATTAGTATACCTACTTATTGAAAAGTTATAAATTTCTAATTCGTGTAAAAAATTATTCAAAATTAAAAATAACCATACTTCATTCGGTAAATCATAGATATTAAATACTAACATACATGAAAGAGAAATGTGATCTCCGAATTTAATTATTCTTTACAAATACCTTTTAAGTACAGACTCAAGTGAAAAATAACGATTTTTACCAAAAAGCTAGTAAATAAGTAGTAAATCATAAAGGAACTTACTGCGTTGGCATATAGGGCAGATGTATCTCTTCTTTTTCTTTAAAATAACTCCAGAGGTATTTTTCAACAGTTTGCTGCTACTTGGATATCCCAAATCGTAATAGTCGGGAAAATCAGCATTTTCCATTTTCAAAGTAGGTAAATCACAATCCGAAGTGAGCAGTTCAGCTTTCGGTTCTATAATACATTCACTAACTTCTTGTTTAATTGTCACTTTACCGTCGTCGGTGTTCTCAAGTTCTTCTTTAACAGTTTTAGGAAAAATTTGCTCGTTTTCGCAAACCCTATCATGGTCAATTTTTAATGGAAAATCAGAACTTTCTTCGAATTTAGGCGTTAGCAAATCAGAACTTTGTTCGAATTTAGGTGTTTCAAAATCTATAATTTCTTCTTTAATTTCAACATGTGCGATTTGTTCAGACATTTGAGATTCAAAAACATTGAATTTGGCATCTAGTTCGGTTTTAGACTGTTGATTTCTAGGACAATAGTTTTGCTCTTTGGTTTCACCAATTTCTGGCTCTGTTTTAATACACTCCTTAAGAAAATTGGAAGAGCCTTGTTCTTGTTTTACGTCCATCGTTCTTTTATACAAATTAATCAAAATGATAAATAGATAAATTATAAATAATTTTAATCATAAACAAAATTATAAACCAGCGTCCACTGTCAACGTCAACTGTCATGACCTGCGAATCAGTGTTGCCACTAGAATATATTTTTGCTATGTACCAGATTCTATGAATTGTATCAGATTCTATGAATTGTATCAGATTTTTCGAATTGTGATGGCACAGCTGTGGTGATGGTTAGGTTCATTGAAGAGCAAAACAAAAGTACATTTGTTAAAACTCTAATATATTTTACACGTCAAATAGAACACGCTGAAAAAAAGAAACGTACTAGATTTTACTTCGAGTGTAGTAGCAGTACTAGAGTACCATCATGGAGGTAGTAGGTCTTTTTCTTTGCATTGAAAAGGTCTTTTCCTTTGCATCGAAAGTGTAGCACTGAGCTACACCACTTCTGAAAATATCGTTCCATCCATACAATTTGTATAAATGGAACGATATTTTCAGAAGTGGTGTTGATCAGTGCTACACTTTCGATGCAAAGGAAAAGACCCAGTTCAACCTCATTGAGTAGATAATGTACTAATCTTGTACAATTGTACTAGACTGCGCGTTGCCAACCTATACATCTTTAAATCGTAGAAAATCGGTAGATTTAAATTAATTAGTAGAAGCAGAAATAAAATATATTGTTAAAAAACAATCACAAACAGGCTTTTATTAAAAAAAAAAAATACAGACAAAAATAAAATAAAAAACAATTCAAAATGAGTTAATCTAAATATGTATTTTATTAATATACAGGGTGGCCCATCGAAAACGTACCGCAAGATATTACAGGGTGGAAAAGAATTTTTCGGCGAAAACCAAAAACACGTCAAATTTGTTTGTCAAGGGGACATCTTTTGACGCAAAAAGCATAATAAAACCTTCAACCCCCTTAGGAGGGGTGTCATCCTCTAATTTTTTTCAAAGGGAAAGGGGGTCAAGTGATACCTCGTTAAAAGGGTCTTCTCATGGAATTGCTGCACTTGCCTCACGGCTCGTGCGGTCAACTTTTCCATTCGTGAAAAAAATTTCCACTTTATGCACTTGTTGCATAAAGTAATTTGCGCACAGATCGCCAACACTTTGGTGGTTTTTTCTTTTTTGAGTTAGCTCTTAATTTATATTTTTACTTTCCTATCTGTATACAGATATAAGGAAAGTATAGGAATCATGATTTTTTTCGACCTCGAGTTTTCGACGGATTTTTACGTTTTGAGGTCCCCTGAATCCGTTTTGACTATTTTCGCGATGCTGTCTGTGTGTGTGTGTCTGTATCCACCATAACTCATGAACCAATACACAGAAAAACACCAAATTTTAGACTTAAGCTTTATTCCATCGTCCAATGAACTGATTAGTTTTTGGGCATAGTCGGAAAATCTGGGGGTACTTTATAGGTGGTCATTTTTATATTTTATGGAATATTTCTGTTATTTACGCTTGGAGAAGAAAATTCTTCAAATAAAAGTTACTTTTATTATTATCTATAATTTTTGTTCTATACAAAATTTTCCTAAAATGGTCTGTATTCGAGAAATTTGACAAAATAAAAAAAAAATTTTTTTATAAAAATTCTTCAAACAAAAGTTGTTTGTAATATAATTCTCTATAATTTTTATTCTATACATAATTTCTCTATTCGAGATATTTGAGAAAATGTGTAAATTTCGAATTTTGAAGAAAACTCAAAAAAGGATAAAGAAAAAAACATTAAATTTTAAACTTAAGTTTTATTTCGGCCTGACGTGAAATGATTAAATTTTGGACAAAGTCGGAACATCTGGGGGGGGGGGTACTTTATGGGAGGCCGTTTTTATATTTTATGGAATATGTCCCTTATTTATGTTTGAAGAAGAAAATTGTTCAAATAAAAGTTACTTCTAATATAATCTATAATTTTTGCTTTATGTCAAAATTTCCTGAAATGGTCCGTATTCGAGAAATTTGACAAAATTTGCAAAATTCTGATTTTTATGAAAATTGTTGAACTAAAAGTTGTTTGCGATATCAATCTCTATAATTTTTGTTTATATATGATTTTTCTAAAATGGATCGTAATGGAAAAATTGGAGGAAGAGTGCTAAATTTAAAAAGGTAAATCAAACAAAGGTGGTCCTTAGAATCTCACAAGAGTATTTTATTACGACCGGTTTCGAGGATCAAATCCTCATCATCAGGTAAGGTCTAAAAATAGAGAGGAAAAACGAATGAGCTAATAACTAATAAGTGGGTTTAAACATTTTAATATGAAAGTTGTCAAATATCAAGAACTCACCCGTAATTACTCATCTATTTAAGACTAAGCTAATAGAATTATCCCAGGGTCGGTGTAAAAACAAGTATGCGAGTATTTTTTAAAATACATAAAAAATACATAAAACCCATTTTAGTGCTTGTAGGGTTTTTTAAAAAGTTTTTAAATTTGTTTGTCTTAATTGTTCGTCCGTTCTTGAAATATTTTAATAATTTTATTAATAGTTTTAGACCTACTTTTGTTTATGTGTTTTGACATCAACTTTTTGTTGCAACTATTGTTTTTTTTATATTTTTTATGTATTTTAAAAAATACTCGCATACTTGTTTTTACACCGACCCTGGGATAATTCTATTAGCTTAGTCTTAAATAGATGAGTAATTACGGGTGAGTTCTTGATATTTGACAACTTTCATATTAAAATGTTTAAACCCACTTATTAGTTATTAGCTCATTCGTTTTTCCTCTCTATTTTTAGACCTTACCTGATGATGAGGATTTGATCCTCGAAACCGGTCGTAATAAAATACTCTTGTGAGATTCTAAGGACCACCTTTGTTTGATTTACCTTTTTGAACTTATAACTCACACATGGCTACCACCTTCAACTTTAATGCTAAATTTAAATTTTTCAGTATTTTCGTTTCCAATGAATATCTATAGAAAAATGTTTCGAGGTAGATGTATGTGGAAAATGTATATATTTAGTTTATCCTCTAAACATTTATAGAGGTGCTGCAATAGGTTGTACAAAATAACCGGAAAAAGCCTATAATAACTAGATAGGAAAGTCATGTGTTGGACACATTAGATTTTTTGTTTTTTAATGAGTTTATTAGGGATTTCATTTCATTTTCTGTGACTGGCCCTAAGAATGAGGAATTTTGTAGATAATACCTATTAGGTTTTGGAGTGTTAGGTATTTTAATAACTAGATAGGAAAGTCATGTGTTGGACACATCAGATTTTTAAATTTACGCGCCGCGCCACTAACAAGCGCTGCGAATGTTTTGGTCCAGACATGCTGAGTAAAGGTCTGTCCACATTAGCCTGACAAAGCACGGTCAAGTCACGATTAAAAATCTTTTTGAAATCATTCACAATATCGAGTCATGTCATCGTCATATTCGAGCAGTTTTTCAAAATTTTCCAAAGTACAGCAGGCAATCATGCATAAGTGTTATTTTTAGAGTATTTTAGCTTGTGGCATCGCGATCCTAATTCAATCCTAATCACTTTTTGATTTAAATACATTTTTTGATTTAAATACTTTGATTTTAAATCTTTTAAAAAAAATGATTTTTGATTTATGATTTAAATCTTTCTTAAAAGTATCTTTGATTTTTTATTTAAAAATTAAGATATGAATCTTTTTAAAACCCTAAGAGAGAAAGCCCACTCACGCGCATTTATTTTATTACATAAGGATTTACGTCAACACAAAGAAAGTTCTTCAAATATTTCATTTCATTTGATGAACTGCTAGCGCAGATTCCCGAACAAATATTTTTTTCGCTATTTTATTTCAATTAACTGTTCGATATTTGAGGTAGGTCTTGAATATCGGATATAAATTCATTTATATCAATACAACTGTCGGAAATTTTTTCACTGGAACTGTCGAAAAGTTAACAGGAAACTCCAACCCTCAACTGGCGTTTCGCACGCGACTTGACGTTTGTATGAGTGATGCTCCATATGAATCCATGATAAAGCTGGCCGCGTGCGGCAGGAAAATCGCGGGCTTGTCATTTCTAATTTTCAGCCGCGTACGACCACGCGACAGAACCGCGTTAATGGACTTTGAGTCATTTAAAAACATCTAAAGTATTGCCGCGCGCGATGCCTAGCGATCAGTCGCGCGTCGCATGAGTGGGCTTTCCCTCTTATTCGTCAAAATCGTTATCAACCTGTCTATTCCTGAATAATAATCTAGCTAGCATGTCAGTAGGGTTGAATCAGAAATCCGGGAGAAAAGAAAAACAAAACATAGTAAAGTGTAACAAATAATTGCAATGACTAAAGATTATTCTTAAGGAGGTCTTTTCGCCACCAATGGTAAATAAAAAAATATCAGATTATGACTAAAATTAATTTTTTTCTAATAGTAGAAGTCCTTATTTATCTAATAGTGAACGTTTTAACTATACCTTACCGTGCTAATTTTTAAATTTTTTTTTTTTAATGTGAGTATTTGTACAGTGTCTTACGAGAAAGTCAGACCTCAACAACAATTCTCGAATTATACTATTATTTATTGAAAAATAAGGTTTTTGAAAAATTTAGGTTTTGTTTTTTTACAATGGAATTTATTGATAAATTAATATTAAAAAATCACAAAAAATTTCAAGTAACCTAGCTTAAAATGGAGTCAAAACATTTGGCAACGGTGCGTAGCGCGCGAATTTCAGACCATTGAATATATTCAATGTAAACTTTAACGCAATTATGTTTTTCATTTATATTTATTAATTTATTTAGTTTTACCAAATTTTTTTATTTTATAATTGAAAATATCACAATAAATGAAAAATATCAGCTTATTAGAGTACTATCTAATTATTTATTTATTTATCATAATGAGATATACTTACACATTATTTATTATAATTTTTTTTATTATTTAAATAAAATTACGACACAAATGAGTAAATTGAGAACAATTTTTTTATGAATAGTGTAAATTTAATTATTCAGTCATAATCTAATATTTTTATTTAACATTGGTGGCGAAAGGACCTCCTTAAGTATGAAATTTTACAATATTTTTGACCCAATATTTTTTTTGTAAAGTTGTATTTTTTACACCGCAAGCAGCTGGAAATACT